ACTTGCCTAAAGAATAAAAGAAAAAAACAGCTTCTCAAGTAGGACCTACAGTGCACTTAAACTTGGCAAGGTAAGGACAGTTTAGTTATTGTTTCTCTTGGCTTATTTTTTTGTTCCAGTTATATTAAGTTGACAAAATTCAGATCATCACAGTATTTGTTCGGGGTAATAAAAATAAATAACACATGGGTTTGTGGGTAACAGTAAAAATATCATCCCTCGATATAAATACTGTTACCCTCGGCTACGCCTCGGGTAACAGTATTTTCCTCGGGATGATATTTTTACTGTTACCCACAAACCCATGTGTTATTTATATACTGAACTCCCTTAATCTATGAGTGTACTGTTCCAGATTCAAAGCAAGACAAATCCATTTCACAAATTCAATAGGTAAATGGTTAAATTATCTACGTACCAGGGTATCTGGATTAGAGACGAGAAGATCTAGAAATCCGTCGTGCATTTGTCGTCATTGTCGTACTCATACACGCGTAAGTTACGAGAAAATATTTGTCCCAAATCCTGACTGTAAAACTTGCAAAACCATTGTTTATTTACCCTAAAAACACTAAAATGTAATTTAAACTGCATGGTTATTGTTTAAACCGATCGTGTTGTATTTACACATATTAAACATAAAATATTACACTAAAATCGCATTCATTGTTGTATTAACGGCCATTAAAAACGCGAAATAAAGTATAACACTACAATTGCAACTACAATTGTATTAAAAGCCATTAAAAACGCGAAACAAAGTATTATAAACGCGAAATAAAGTATTAAAAACGCGAAATAAAGTATTACACTACAATCGCAACTACAATTGTATAAACAGCCATTAAAACGCGAAATTATCAAATAATATATATGAGGTAAAGGGTTAAGGGTTAATTTTGAAGCACAATGTCGTGATAATTTACGTCCATACAATTTTCACGGTCAATAATTCAAAGATTTGAATTTCGAGCCAAAAGTAGGTCACTGTACGACCTAAATGTACAGTTACATTAGACAATATAATAAGGAGGAGGTAGCCCTAAGGAGGAATGTTATACAAGCAAATGTCCTGCCTTTCAAGCCGTAACTCTATGCTAGGGGCTCATGCACCATAACACATTTTCTAAACATGTCAACGCGTCCTTGTTGAAAAATTCAGCCAAGCTCCAAATCTTCTGTCAATGCCCTGTGCATTCTCTTCGACGTGAACGTACCGAGGGGAAGAGAGAAGACGGCTTGGGAATTGTCCGCTCTGTCAAAATTACGGGAGGGGGGTTACCCAGGTTAAAAAAAAACAACCGGGGTGGGGAGTTATCTGCCCTGTAAAAAGTAACGGCAGGGAAATTGTCCGGGTTGTCAAATCTCTCAAAATAATAGGACGAGGAATCATCCGGAATGGGAATTGTGCGGGATTCATAAAATGTATGAAGCTTCTAAAACGATATATGTAATATCTGATCGGCTTTATCATAATAAATTAACGTTTTAATATGTTCAATGGCATATAAGAGTAATATTTTTAATCAAAGAAATTTAATTTCATAGAAATTAATGTATATATGACTCCTTTTATTCAAGATGTTTTATTTACTACCGTATTCCTCTGCTCGATTACAGTCAAAAACTTTCCGTCTGATCACCCTTTCGTAATTTCCACATTCTTTTAAGGTGGAATTGCTGAAAGATAATTAGAAATAAGAAATAGAGTCCAGGTTTTTTTCCAAGGATTATGGGAACATAACCAATATCCATGGAATTGGGAATTTCAGCCATGGTTTGTTAAAAAATGGTGGAAATCATGACTGAAAAGTTGCAGTTATTGATTGTATGCAAACAATCACTGTCTAGGATGGCATCTTGATTGAATAAATGCAAACAATCACTGTCTAGGATGGCATCTTGATTGAATGAATGCAAACAATCACTGTCTAGGATGGCATCCTCAAATATTTAAGCTTTATATCAGCTATAACAGTGAAGAAGCCTTTATTTTCAGAGATTTTAGAATTTTTTATTTAACATTTTTAGTTTGTAACTTTCAAACGGGAAATTTTTCTTAATACAATATTTTCATTTGGGGATATGACCGAGTATCGGCTATAATATAAGCCAAAAAAATCCCCGAAGACCTTCAGTCAGCAGTTTCCTTGTTATTTTCACTTTTTTCACGTGAAGTCAATTGACATGGAAAGGTAAAAGCAATAATAATCAAAGAATAGAAATGAAAGTCAAATTAATATTACTGATATTTATTCAACCTTACGTATATCATTAGCTATAAATATTTTGACAGGTTATATTACATACTAAATGACCTTTCAAAATATTTCATAACACATTTATAATACAACACAATGTCTACAGTTGGAAAAAATGATAATTTATTCATGAATTTACAGTAGACGTATACTTATATAGATTTAAATTAACCTTAACGATTATCTGATGAAACGTGCACAAATAAAATCTACCCTCTATATATTATGAAAAGCTACCGATAAAAAAATTAAAAATGTTTATATTGATTTGGTATGACCGGGCTGAAGATCGTACCCGAGGCGTCCGGGGAACGAACCGGAGACCTCCTACATAACATAGTGAACGATTTATGGGTTCAACACGAGGCTTGGTCGTATAATTCGGTATTAAGTAACAGTAAGATTTTAACCTAAGACCAGCCGGAACATCAGTGTCATCTGAATTTTTTTTTTCTATATTTACAGGAGGACAAGTCCATTTAATATATCTAGAGGGTAAGGGTAAATACAAACCTGTTTTAGAGACTTACTAGCACATTAACTCCATCCTAATATTCTGGTCAGAGTCAGGAGTATTCCATCTGAAGTTACATTTTCCATAGGTCTGCGGTAATGGTGAAATCTTTGAGACGTAAATCAATATCCAGTGCTTTCCTTGCACTTTCTGTATCATGAAAATAATTATATAATAGTTTGATATTTAAGGATATTACATTATTATTAGTGTTTGCCTACCTGCAAGCCTATCTACATGTTTTCCTGTATGTCTGTCTACATGGTTACCTGCCAAAACGTCTGTCTGCCTACATGCGATCTTGTTTTCCTGCATGTATGTCTACATTTCTGTCCGCCAACATGTCCACACGCATGCATGCCTATATAACTGTCTGCCTACCTTCAAACCTACCTGCCTGCCTACCTACTTACATACTTGTTTATCTACTAATCTTTCTTCCTGTCTGATAGCCTGGCTACCTACTTATGCTAAACTTAACACAAACCGTCATTTAATACTAAAACAAACCGTCATTTCAAACTAAAGTCCCCTAGAATCAGTCTCATAACTTATCAACTTCTTCAGCCGGAGGCTGTCTAATTTCAGCTTGACCTCCTGTGAAAATACACGGGGATGAACTGAATGAAAGAAGGATTTCCATTGGTCATTTTAAATCTCTCACAAGCGATACAAGACTTCCAAGGCGCATTTCAATATTAATCGTTTCAGTTATATAGCCCATAAATCACGCCTGTATGGAAAAACACATGATCACAGTACGTTATCAGTAACATATTCAAATGGCCTATGATACAATTGTATTTATCCATTAATAATATATAGTTATATTATTTCATCCCTAAATAAATTTAAGCGGCAAATGTTCACAGGTCCATAGTTTTATGAAAGTGGCTTTGCTATTTGAAGGGGTTTTGTGCCGTGTGATTTGATCCAACACAAATAATAACTGAACACATTAAAGTAAAGTCAGACGACAACATAGTATCGTCTGTCACCAGCAAATGATATTGTAGCTACAACATCAAATCTACAGAAGTTGAACATATATAATACGAGTAGGCCTATATGTATTCACCATGGTTTGTTTTTGTTTTTACCTTAATAGTTGTCAGATATGAAACAATATACAAGCATCAACAAAACAATCATGATTTGATTTTTTCTATTAAAATAATACGGTTGCTCACGTTAAGTACCAAGCACCAATTTGTCTTGTCCAAATATGAAATCCTATGGTGGCTGATTTGTCACATTTTTACCCAGTCCGTTGAGGCTTGCGACAACACAACAAATATCGTAATCGCCTTTTCGTCTTGTCGCTGCGAAATGCGACAAACTGCGGCGCGTTGTCGCCTTGCCGCCCTGGCCCCTGTCGCTTGTCTTTTATCGAAGGGTTGGCTTCTTATCGTGCTGTCGCATGGCTCGTTGACGCGAGCATCATTGCGAAAATAAGCCAATTCTTCCATATGAGTCCAGCGACAATGTGTCATCGCGTCACACGCTGCGAGTCAACGCACCTTTTGGTGTGTTGCCAGCGACCGGATGACAAGGCGATAACGCGCCGTTTTGGCGCTTTGTCGTGCTGTCACTATTAAACTAGGGACGCGCAAATGTAATAAATCAGCCACCATAAAACAATGAGTCGGTATAGTTTTTTCAAACATCACCTCACGTACACATTTACAGAATTTCGGTAGGAAACACAAACAGTTGACTTCTACAGTGGCAAAAATATCGTGATTATAAACATTTTTAAACAAAGAATGTAAGTTTTACCTGAGTAACATCTTCTACAGAAACAACGCCACGGTCTTGGTTTGGAAAAAGGGAACATGATGGTGTCTCGTTGCAAGTTTCACTAACTGCTGACGTCATGTATGACGCACACAAAACCAGTACAATGCACAGTTTTACCATCCTGTATTTTAGACAATAAAACTAAATGGAACGATTTTTATTTTAGATACCAATTTCTGTTGTTTTTTTTTGGTCAAATTTCAGAATGTATTGAGATCATTTAACATGTTCTGAATTCAACTTGCAGTATTATTTTCATCATATTTGTAAAGATTCTGTTACGTCATGTAACACATGCAAAGATACGACCATCATTGCATACAAGCTCGATATGGAATAACATTGCTTAAAGGCCCATTATGCCTCAGAAATGCTATCATTTTTTATTTTCCAAAAACATTTATTTTTTATTTTTGGTATCTTGTTACAGTTTCAAAAAATACTCATTTGCCATATATAATTTCTTTTACGACTTTGATATGTTTTGCAATAGGTACAATTATAGTTAATTAGTATTTTGTATGAAAGTCAAACTACTACTTTGTTTACTATTTACTACCTTTACAACACATGACTGCATGTTCAGCGCTAATTCTTTAGTTGTAAAACATCTAAAATGCTCTTAATCCATTATCTAAGCTTTATTAAACAAATGTTTGACATTTCTGAAGAATCAAAAATATGGATTTCTGAGGCATAATGCGCCTATAAATAGACTATAGCTCGGTTACATTAGTTTTTTGAAATATCAATTTCTGTATCTTGATTTTGCTTTACTGTTTTTTACTTTGTCCATGTATTTCTCAAATCAACGCCAAATTTAAAATCTTTCTATTTGATTTTATTAATTACAGTAAATCGCGTAAGCTGTATAATTATGTTGAATAATCGACGGTACTAAAAAAAGCAACAGAAAAAACTACAGTGAATTAAGGACGAATAATGCGGTGTCCACATCTTAAACTATTGTTCAAGTTGTACGGTGCCTAAAGTACACACGTGGAAACATGAAAATCACAGACACTTGGGGCTTGCACAGACGCTTGGGGTTTGGAGCTCAAAACGCTTTTAAAATCCAAATAAAATGCATATTTGTCAATCCCAGGACATGTTCTGATCATATATATCGAAAAATCTTAATATATGCCGTTTTGAAAAAAAATCATATTTCAACATCTATAATAATACACAAGATAAAAATGTTCGCCGGAAAAAATCCGCACCCCTACCGTCATAATCACCATGTATTTTAATCCATTTCCAATATTTTCACATAATCCTTTGGTCCATCGACACAGAAGATATAATTCTTCACGATGATGGTAAATTTTAAACTTCAACGGTAATATAAACAACGCAACAGCCGAAATAAACATCAATATTCTCGCCGTTTTTTTTCAACGACAAAAACTTTCGATAAATTCAATGGACCATACGGCTATGAACGAAGCTATCCGATTATGTGGTTCCAAAACTTAAAAGCGCTGCGCATTTTGCACACGGCAAAGCTGGGGCCACATAATCGCATAGCTTCGTTCATAGCCGTATGGTCCATTGAATTTATCGAAAGTTTTTGTCGTTGAAAAAAAAACGGCGAGAATATTGATGTTTATTTCGGCTGTTGCGTTGTTTATACCTGTACGAAATTTTCTGCACGGAAATGGGGCGGAATTCAAAGGCAGATTCCGCCCAGAAATTTAAATTCTCCCCCGAATATACAAGTGTTAAACCATTTGCTTTTGGCACGGATTCCGGCCGGATTCCAGGCGGAAATGGAACGGATTCTGGGCGGAATTGGGACGAAATATGCAAATGAGTTGGGGCGGAATTTTGAAGCGGAATCTTGGGGCGGAATTTTGAAGCGGAATCTTGGGGCGGAATTTCGGAGCGGAATTGTCAAACAAGATTCTGGGCGGAATTCTGGGACAGAATTCAGGGGGCGGAATTTTATGAGTTTAACATGATCACATATTTTGGGATAAAATTATCAATAATGTATCACATTAAATTTTCTTTCACAAAATTTAATAAAAAAAATATCATATCCTTTAGTCCAAATACAGAATAGAATACCCTACATTCACTATAACACAAACAGTTTTTTTTCAAGCTGCAGGTTTTGGAATCTTAGAATCCAACACTTTGTGGTTTTTTTGCAATTATTTTGCTGGAAGTGTTTCAATCATAAATTTGTTTCAAATGTTTCTGATTATTTAAATTACTATTTCTTTAATCCATGTCTGTTTTAAGTCCACTGCCTGTGTTTCCTAGAACTTCTAGTGGTTGTGCTCACCTTTAATAATAAAATTCATAATTAATTAAACAAATATTTTGTAATGAATTGAGCCGTGTCATGACAAAACCAACATAATGGGTTTGCGACCAGCATGGATCCAGACCAGCCTGCGCATCCGCGCGGTCTCATCAGGATCCATGCTGTTTGCTTACAATCCCTATTACAAGTAGAGAAACTGATAGCGAACAGCATGGATCCTGATCAGACTGCGCTGAGGCGCAGTCTGGTCTGGATCCATGCTGGTCGCAAACCCATTATGTTGATTTTGTCATGACACGGCTCAATTATGTTTTTATTGCATAATTATATGCAGTTATATTTTATATTTTTTAATAATATCAAATTTTATGTTTCAACAGTATTAAATATTAACTATGCTTATAAAGCATATTCAAAAATAGTAATTTAGCAACACATAATCAGTTATTCAAGTGTACAAGTGTTTAAGAATTGCTCTGTATAAGAATTAACTGACTGCTTTATGTGTGACACTATTTAATACTGGTTATGTATTTTTCAAGGAAAGATGTTGAATAGTTAAGTATAGAGATTTAAAAATATACCTTTTCAGGATTAATACTGCACATCATTATTAAACACCTGGCATCTCACAGTCAGCACTTAAGTCCCTGAGCAGCCTGCAAATTATGAGTGTAAAATGTAATTTTAGATTGTTCCATAGGAAAGACAACACAAACATGTAAAATAATAAATGATTATGATGACCCTGTTCAGCTGTACAAAACTACTGATTGTACCATTTAGTCCTATTTAATCAAATTTATTTAATTTGTTTAATTTCCAGGACATGCAAAAGATATACTTACATGCTATTTATACAATATAGATTTACACAATCATTATATTAACAAAAAAATCATTGAATAATTTTTAACTTGCAAATAATACATGTATTAAAAATTTAAAACAATTATCAGAAAAAAAAACAAATGTATGAAGTTGAAAATACTAAAACAACAATGACCTCTTGTTACAAATTTTAGTTGGCTACTTAGTATTGATAGTTGTCATATAAAATTAATGTAACTAAAAGTTAATAATTACCTGATTATGTTATACATCTCCTTGTCCCATGTTATCAACTTATCATACCAATTACTTTAACACTTTGAGATCTTAAACAAAACTTTACTCCAAAATTGTTAAGATATCAAGTACATCCTCTGTAATGCTGACCCAGATATCTTAGAATTCAAAATTCACAACAGTTTACTGTATAATGGACCGGTCCATCATTATGTAAAACAGGGTTAATTTACTCATCATCTTAACTTTCATTCATTGAATGTAAAAGAAAAATCAAATAACAAATAGATATATATAATTTTTAAAAAACAATTACAAATTTTTGTACAAAAAAAATGCAATATGTCCTAGACAAATTCTACATATGCAATTTATAATGTTATCTCTCCCCAAAATAATTACATGGAACAGCCTGATCTGTTGGAATGACCAGTCATGCGTAGATGATGGGAAACTGCTGGTCAGTAGAGTTTTATCAGAGCTCTGATCTGTGTAGTGTAAAATCTGGGTGAATATAATCTCAGTGAGAATATACATTGTAGTATTTATTTACCTACGGTAAATAAAAGCAATTATTGGGCATATTGGTTGATCAATTTTATATAGATTAAAAGGGCATTATATATGAGATTATTTCATGCAGTTTATTTTTTTTATAACAAAATCATGAATTCTTAGAATTTAAAATGGCAAGCACACTTATAATCTTGTCCCGATGTGACTGCCCTATATTCTATAGTATATTCAAATTTAAAAAGCATTCTTATTTTAATGTTGCTTTTAGATGATGTCCTAAAATCATATTTAAAAATTCATAATACAGTAAATGTATTATAATACAAGCTATATGAAAAATCTTTATATTATAAACTTAAGCATTTTGGAGGTGAATGTTTTCAAATTCTACACTAAGATTATTACAGTTGTTTTTCAGTACAAAAAATATAAATTAGTCTGACAATATATTATTAATGCCACATTTTTTATCTAAAAAGAAGGCCTATTTTAATGTCTTAAAAAAAAATATATTAATTCTAAAAATACACCTGTAATTATTGGTTCAGCAAAAAAAAATAAGTACAGTAGATAAAATTTCAATGTCTGCAAGTGCAAAAACAGGAGTACAATTATGATTTGGACATCTTATATGTGAAATTCTGTTCAAGAAAAATGTTAAAGTATAGAATTCCGCCCATAGTGAAGATTATTCCTACCCCAAAAAATTTCAAAGTTGAAAATTCTGTCCAAGATGAAATGTTCAAGTATAAATTCTGCTCAAAATAAAATTCCAGCCGGAATTTTTCTAGTTTTCCGCCCAGAAAAGTGAACAAAATATTTTTCTTGTGAGACAGAATGGCACGGATTTTGCGTTTCCGTCCCTGGTCCGCCCAAAAATCACAGATTCCGTGCCAATTCCACCCAGAATCCGTGCCAAAATTTCGTACAGGCATTACCGTTGAAGTTTAAAATTTACCATCATCGTGAAGAATTATATCTTCTGTGTCGATGGACCAAAGGATTATGTGAAAATATTGGAAATGGATTAAAATACATGGTGATTATGACGGTAGGGGTGCGGATTTTTTCCGGCGAACATTTTTATCTTGTGTATTATTATAGATGTTGAAATATGATTTTTTTTCAAAACGGCATATATTAAGATTTTTCGATATATATGATCAGTACATGTCCTGAGATTGACAAATATGCATTTTATTTGGATTTTAAAGGCGTTTTGAGCTCCAAACCCCAAGCGTCTGTGGGGGTTTGGAGCTCAAAACGCCTTTAAAATCCAACAGCCGAAATAAACATCAAGATTATCGCCGTTTTCCTCCATTTACCAAATCTTTCGATACATTCAAACGTGGCCCCAGCTTTGCCGTGTTCAAAATGCGCAGCGCTTTTAAGTTTGGAAACCAACATAATCGGATGGCTTCGTTCATATCCGACTGGTTTTTTGGTTTTTTTCTTTAAAAGTTTTGTCCAAAGCTTAACTCCAAAAGTAATTGAAGGATTTACCTATGTCTTACTCCACTGACATCTCATTTGTTGAAAACGCAATATGCAAGAACAGTAACTCTACCTTACCTACTTTAAGAGGTATTCCCATTTATCATATTTCCTTAAAAACGTACAAAGACCAAGACTTGAATAATTTTCCTGTTATTATGTCTGTTATTATTATTAATTTGTTATATTATTATCTTTATTATTATTCTGATTATCATCATCATTAACGTTATTTAGCTATCAAACAAAGAAATATTTGAATAACTAAATTTCACTTACCTGGCTGTTTTCGATGCAAATTTGATCGCCCACATGTCCTTTCTGTCTTATATACCATATTATAATACCACTTGCAAAAACTTAAGACTGAAATTGAATTCATAGACCAAAACGAAACAAAATTGAGGTAAAAACCATGTTTATGATACCTATGTTTGTTATCTATGATAAATCAAAATTATGTTTTGCAAGATGAATGCATTACTTCAAGTTGTTATGTAAATTTATCAACTAAGGATGATGTCGTCTTCACTGCTTGCAATTTCTTTTCTTTTTTTTTCTTTTTCGTTAACATTAATTTTGCTAAAGTTTGCAAATAACGATCACGTCAACATTGCCAGGCCAGACGCCTCAATCCTATTCATGATCAATAATATCTCGTATATACATCTATTTTAATATTTCGAGAAAGTTGGATCAAATTCAAAACTTGAGGCAGTTGACATGATAATCAAATCAGTGATATTGCAGCTCGTATTTGGACTCAATTTAGGTTCAAGAAAAAGTATGACCGCAGTCAGTGCTGCATGTGAAGTCATGGGTAGAGGTTTGCACAATTTATTGTGTAGAAGTTGCTGTATTTACTTGTTTGTAGATTGACATAATTTTTATTTAGATGTTACCATAGTTTCTTGTATGTCGATTGACCTTTGTAGAGGTTGTCACAATTAAAAGGAAAAGCTCGGCAACGGTCAAGCTATTGCGTGACAAATGTCACTGACGTCACATACGGTTTGGAATTACAAACCTCAATGTAACGAATGAACCAAAACTAATCAAAGGACAATAATGCAAATGATTGTAAGTTTTTTTTATTAGGAAAGAGATGTCAATTTTGAGTGCATTGTTGTAGAATAGTTCAAATGCGTAGGAATATAATCACGAAGGCCAATAGTGGCAATCTAAGCAAAATAGTAGTGGAGCGACATTTATAGCGAGCTCGACGAGCTGGCCCGAAGGGCCTGCTTGCAAAGCGAGCTTTACGGTAACGCGAATACCTGCTCAGTGATGGTTTTGAAAACTTTCGTCTGAAGTACCGAATTGGACACATCGCAACTTTATGAATTACAAGATAACGACAAGAAAAGCATTGATGCAAAGCATCAAAGGGCGTCCAAGCAAGAAATGCAGCAAGTGAAGATGAACTAGTACACATATGATGACAAGATATTCTTATAAACTACCAGAAATGTATACCACTTATGAATGAGCGGACGAAAGACATTGTTCATTATGAACTTTGATTGGCATGCTAGAGATTAGAATATTACTTGTTATTTCTTTATGATCGTGGTTATTAATAGCAACGGATATACATGTATGCAATCATTTATAATCCATATGTGTAACGCATGATCAACACGTACCACACATTTGTCCCTTATTATGTACATGTTATCGCTATTAGCGAAGACCCCCTTAAGGTATCTGTTCACACTTTAAGTTAGTAAAAATATGACACTGGTTATATTACCATGTTGATCATGTTGAGCATAATTGTTTATTATACAATAATTGTAATATCTATTAATTTTAATTTAAAAAAAATACAAATTTTATGAATATTGTTTTCTTTTATTCTGGTCAAAATAGACCGGGAGAGACCGGCATTTACCGATAGGAGTGATAAAAAGATATATCTATAAATAGGTTTTTGGAATATTTAGGTCATCAACTGATCATTCTAGGATACATGTACAACAATAACATACCATGACATGATAACCGACTGTGTACTACAAAATGATAAATAAAAAACCCCGAAGAGCGCGATTTATTGACGGAAAAGGTTATTTCATTTGTAAATGTTTGCATTGCGAAAATTCATTGTAACATATCGCGACATTTCATTCTTATTTAATAATCAAGCACCCTCATACCGATCGGAATTTTCGGCTTTTATTATGACCGACTAAAAGGCTCGAGAAGTTGCTGTCGCCCTTTCACAAAATCTGATCTCATTCCATAAGAGCGCCGCGCTTCGGCGCGGAGCCAAAAAAAGCCGATGTACTCTGATTGAAAACGGAAGCGTAGATTGGTGTCAAATACGAACTTTTTCACACCTGTTTTCAAACTGTTGATGGAAAACTTTTTCCATTCTATATTTCATTTGTTTATTACATAAATTAATTATACTATTAATAACAACTTTTATTGAATAAAAATACATGAAAACCAAATATTTTTATTACCAAAATTACATTACACATTGTAACATAAATCCGTGATTGTAGATAAGTTAAACTTCGTTATTTCACGGATTTATATTGTAATATAAATCCGTGGTTATTTATATAAACTGGAAAATTATACGAAAAACAGCTTTTATTGAATAAACCCACATGATAACAAACATATTTTATAACAAAATTTACATACAGTTAACATTTTTTAAAACTTTAACCTGTAAATAACTAAATCAGCTGTTATTGAATATAAAACACATAAAAAACATATACATGTATTTTATTACCAAAATTACAAAAACTTTATTTCTATCGCAAGAAAAAAAATACAAAATTAGCATTTTTATAATATCTTTTTTTATTATTATTAATATCTCAACATTTTTTATTTCCAAAATCACATAACACATTGTTAACAAAACAAAGTGACAAAAACTACATGAAGTAGTATCCAATTGTGAGGGAACTCTTATGCACAGTTGTTCACATTGTCAGATTCATGATTCTAGATTTTATTTCAAAAAGCATAAACATTTTACAATGTCCGTCGCCATAAACAGAATGACGGTTACAAATAGTATATGAGAAAAGTATTTAACTGAATACAAATAATTTCTACATTAACATTCTTATATTGTAAAGAACACATATGCAACGTATTTCAATATATGAGCAGCGTCACGACAAAACCAACATAATGGGTTTGCGACCAACATGGATCCAGACCAGCCTGCGAATCCGCGCAGTCTGATCAGGATCCATGCTGTTCGCTTACATACTCTATAACAAGTAGAGAAACTGATAGCGAACAACATGGATCCTGATCAGACTGCGCGGATGCGCAGGCTGGTCTGGATCCATGCTGGTCGCAAACCCATTATGTTGGTTTTGTCATGACACGGCTCATATGTTTGTAAATAATAGTATATGTTATTTTGGTTTTGGAGTGATATATGTGGATATATTACCTGTTAAGATTTTATATCACCCGAGCCGAGTCTATGTGCTGAGCATCTAAATCGTGACAAAGCTATTCTAAACTTTGGATTTTTTTACTAAAGAAAGGTACATGTATTTTTCAAAATCAAAACCATCTTTTATAATCTTATACGTCTCTAATTTTGATGAATTACTAATTTCCGATAACCATTGTTGATTATATTGATCAATAAAAGCACAATATAATTTCTTTTTCTCACAATTAATAACTTTATTTATTATAGAATTTAAAACAAAAATACAATCTATGGTGCTTTTGCCGTTACGAAACCCATACTGATACTCCGATAACAAATTGTTAGTTTCGGCCCACTTGCGCAAACGTGTATCTAACATTGAAGAAAATATTTTAGAAAAAACACTGGAAAGGGTAATACCTCTATAGTTGTTTACATCATCAGCATTACCTTTTTGGGGGATTGGAACTATCATACCTTTTGTCCATATCTCAGGATATACACTATTAAGAAACACGCACTTATATAAGAACCATAATAGAAAGGGGGAACCATAATAAACGGAAGCAATGTATAAAATACCGAATGACAATTTTAAAACGGAAAATGTAAAATAAAAATGAACGATTATTTTAAACTATCTTACGGTAAAAGAAAATCGAGCTCGCTTTGAGGCTTTGCCTTTTTCATATTAGGATATGATTTTAATGATTGGCCTAAGTGGTTATAGGAGAGGTAATCAGACCTCTCCACAGTGTTCACACTGATTGCTGGCGGCATCCATTTTTGCGTATCTGATTTTAGTAAATGATTATCATTTAAAGCGTAAAATCATTAGGAGCAGTCTACAAAAACTCTTACGCGCATACTCGACCGGCAATCGAGAGACCCGTGGTTCGAGTCCCGGCTGGAGCGTGCCGATTTTCGTGCTATTTTTCTATATTTTCTATATAAATAATTTCTATTTTGTTAAATAACTGTAATTTATAACCAATTGTGCCTTTTATGCAAAATATCCCCAAATAGTTTCGAATTAAACAAATCTTCCACAGCTGCAAAAATACAGGAAGCAAACTTGTTTACACAGCAATTGAATGATAAACTGTGCAACAAAAGAAAGTATAAAATCATCGTCTTAACCTTATTTAGCACAAAACACAAACACAGTTTTGCAATGGGCAAGGCTTACGATTGTTTATTATTTGAGCAGTGTGTACAAGTACATGTTATTGTATAACTTCGTTTTCGTACATACAAATATACATTATGATATGACAAACCGTATACATATAAAAAGATAAACAATTTCACTTGTATATTATCATTTTGTGAATATCCTTACAAACTATATGAACCAAGATATGATAAGTCAGGTTAAAAACCAGAGATTAAACAATCAGCCCATTATAAGGAATGTTAAAAGACTCTGGAAAACTGTTCCTATCATACCAGGGTTAGTTACAGTATACCTATATAGCTTGTTACAAATATTTTATCAACATAAAATGATTGTATGACTGTTACATATATTTTTATATAAAATCTGTTTAATGTCTTATGTTTCCGATTTATCACAAATATTTACTACAAAGCCATATGCAACAACTGGCTGAAATACAATATTCGAATTTGAATAAAATTGTCCTTCACAATCGAAACCGAGCGTAGAACTGATTTCCACGAGCATTTTACCGCCTAAAACCACATGACCAATCACTGATCACGTGATATACGCATCAGTGATCCGCGCACTAGTTTATGTGCGACATAACGTTGAGACATACGTTCTGCGGCTATACTACGTAACGCGCAGAACTTAAAAGTCTTAACCTTATTTAGCACAAAACACAAACACAGTTTTGCAATGGGCAAGGCTTACGATAGAACCTATACAAATGTTAGAGGAGGATATTCAAATTCAAATTATTCTCAACAATACAGCATACAATTACAATTTTAACTGTTTAGTAACAAAAAGTTTTTTCTCTAAAGAATCATCTATATAACCGTCTT